CATTGTTTGCATTTTGTTCCTGAGGCCTCCCAGCTTCTCAGGAGGAAAAATCCTAAGGAAAGGATTTTCCATAAAAGATATCTGTGACAAGCCCACAAGTGCAGGGTTTCCTGTGTGCTGGGGGGGGTGGGTCAGGGCTGAAATGAAAAATCCATAAACAGGAATTAATTAAAAGGAATTCATTTTGGCCAGATCTCTGCTGCTGAGCCCAGAGCAGAGCCCAGCTCCTGCTGCACCCACGGGGAGGATGTGAATGAATGATTCACCCTGCTGCTCCTCAGCACATCCTTCCTCCCAAATCCACCCTCCCTGCACCCCGAATCACGAGGAGCTGACTGGTCCTGCCTCATCTGTGCCACCCCACCCTGGCCTGTCCCCACCCCAGGCAGTGACCCCAGAATCCCACTGGAGCTCTGAGAGGCTCAGGATCAGCACATTTCCTCCTTTTTTTAGCACTGGAGGAGCCACAGGGGTGTCTTAATCAAGCCAGAATTCAAATTTCAAAAGAAAGCTCTTAGGGGAAGCTTTTCAGTAATTAATCTGAAAATCAAGGTGGTAATCCCAAACTTCCAGGGATGATCAACAGAGGTGGGGCTCTACAGAAAGGAATCAATTTTATTTTAATTTTTTGTTCTTTTTTACTGTGAAGAAAGAACACACTCTTCCAGTGCCCAGTGTTCACAAAGGAATCACAAAAAAGAAGGAGCTGATCTGCTGAGTGTCCAAGGGGTGCAATGGAGCTCTTAAGGGTCATGCAGGCTTTAAGGACAAAATCAAAGCTGCTGGAGAACACCATTAGCACATAAATCCAAGAGAACTGGCCTCAAAGTCAGGAACTCTCCTCAAAACTGTTTTCTCCCTGCTGGGTGTTTTCATCTTTTAATGTCTGGTTTCTTTTTACCAAAAAAATCACTCAGGACCAAACTCCTCAGGTTGGTGCATGTGCCTGGCTCCCAGAACTCACCATTTTCAGCCCAAATTTATCCCCAATTCCCACGGGAGCTCCCGTATCTGCACTCCCAGGGATGCCTGGCCCTGACATGTGGGGTGTGGAGTGGGCAGAGACCCCTGGAGCATCCCCAGGGCAGGGCTGAGGGCACAGAACCAGAGAATCAGGGAATGGTTTGGGATGGGAGGATCTTCTAAATCCCACCCAGTGCCATGGCAGGGACACCTTCCCTGTCCCAGGCTGTTCCAAACCCCAATGTCCAACCTGGCCTGGCACAATTCCAGCCCTCCCAGGCTGGAGCCAACACCTCATCCACCACACAGGAAAAACCACATTGAGCATCAACCCCACCACTGCTCATTTTTGGGGATCAGACCGCAGGTTTTTGGGTGTGGACAGAATCCCACACGCTCACAGAACATTACCAAAGCAAAGAGGGGTTGAAAAATGCAAACAGATGGTTTGTTTCACTCTGAACCTCAGAGCAAATTCATCAGCAGAGTCAAAATTCACCAGCGCACACCGCGTCAGGCTGGTCCTCACTTTCATTTTCAGCTCTGAGGAGAATTTCCACAATGCTCCCTGTCTGATAAGGCAAAAGTCTGTAGTTTAAATTTACCATCAGCCAAACTGCAGCTCTAAATATGCTCCCAATTAAGAAGGTAGCTCAACAGCCTGCCTAATCAACACGTGCCTTGGCTCTCACAAATCCACGCCTGACATTTAAACTCCTGCTCTGCTTCTGCTCTGGAGGGAAGTGAAGAGAACTCACAAAAAATCCGGAAAAAGCCCCAAACTCAGGCTCCTGGTGTTGTGTTTCTCCACAAGAATCCTGCAGGAGCTCAGCACGGGCTCCAGGTGCAGCTCATCCCTACAACCACAAAATCCTGCCCAAGGCCACGCTCAACAGGAAAATCTGAGAGCTGACACCTCACAGAAACTCTGTTGCAAAGAGGGGAGTGCTGGGATGGCAACCAAGAGCAAAAAGTCAAATTATCAGGAAAAAAGAAGTCAAATCTCACCAAGACAAAGTCAAAAAATTATCAGGAAAAAAGTCAAATTATCAGGAAAAAAGAAGTCAAATCCCACCAGGGCAATGTTAAGGCTGCACTGTGTCTTCTCCTCTAAATACCTCCTATGGAGGTGAAACACCCAGATTCCCCAAAACCTCCCAGCAACATCATCAAAATCAAGGCTGAAGAGGTTTATATTCAATGTTCCTCTCCTCTAGCTTCAGGTAAACACTCAAGACTTTCTTAAAATGCTAGCAAGAGGCAAACAGTTCACATAATAACAATTCAGCATCACCAATCAGTAAAAATTCCAGGTTTTATCCAGATGAAGGGTCCCCACACACAACAGAACATGTAGGAACAGCACCAATCATGCACCAATCAACACAAGAATTATTAATACAAATATTTCGGTTTTTCCTCCATTTTCAGCCATCCACATGCATAAACTTACATTAAACTCCTCCCTGAAGAGCTTCCCCTCGTCGGCCGAGCGTATCCGGATCTCCTCCTCCAGGTTTTCCACAGGGATGGGGAAATACTTCTTGGGGCCCGAGGGAGACCTGCTGAGCAGCATCACCCGCTGCTGTTCTGTCAGCACAAGGGCAGCCCGTGTTAAAGGCACGGCCACAGCCACAGATCCCACTACAAATTCATCCTGGTGCTGAGAGATGCCAGAGCAAACTGCTGCCATGACACCCTGAGGTGCTGAAGGGGATTTAGAGGAAATTAAAACACCAAATCATAGGCCAAGGGGTTGCTTTGAGAGCATAATGGTATCAAGAGGAACCAGTGCTGGTGAAATGAACGATTTCTCTATTTACAATGGATTTAAAAGTGACCAAGTTTTATTCAGAAAAGAAGGTTCTTTCTGCTGACAGGGCAAGGACAGCTTTTGGCACCTGTCACCAAGGAGGTGCTGCCAGATTATTTCATTTTGGGGGGAAATAATGCTAATAATAATGATAACAAATAATTTATCTTGAACTTGGCAGCCAACAGAAGCTGTGCCCCAAGAGGAGCTGCTGCCCTGTGCACAGGAACACCCCAGCAGGAAGCTGATGGGTATTTTTAGGTTTTTGGCTTTTCCTCTGACTGTCACCCTCTTCAGCCCACTCATCCCTTCACACATGGTCAAGCGGGGCAGACACGAACCACAGATTGATTATTTTATCTTTAACCTGATCATTTTTCTCTGGGTTGTGATTAGAACAACTTGTCCAGCCCAGGTTTGAGCTGGGCCCCACAGAGGAGCCAGCCTGGAGTTCCCCAGGGGCAGAAACAAACCCAGCACAACTCAGACCAGGGGGAAACACTTGGAACTCCTCAGAGAATTTTATTTCAGTGTCTCTGGCTTCACATTTGGAACTCCACAGAGTTTTATTTTGGTGCCTCTGGTTTCAAACTGCCCCATCTCAACCCCTTGCCTCACATTCAGAAAGCACCCAGTGCATTCACAAAGTGTTAAGGACTTTTCCCCCCATTTTAAGAAGAAACACTGCAATTCCTTCTCCAGATATAAGGATCACAGTGTTAAGGACTTATTGCCCCATTTTAAGAAGAAATCCTGCAATTCCTTCTCCAAATACAAAGATCACAGTGTCACAAACGTGGATCTCAGCTGGCACCCTGGTAAAACAGCCAGAGAGAAAAGAGCCCAGGGAGGTTTTACACAGAAACATTTGCTGCATCACAAAGTGAAACCTATTTCAAAGCAGCAACTGAAAGTTAAGATTTTCCATAGACTGCTTGAGGATGATTTCTAAATATGGATCTCCAGTCCAAGGCCAGCGTGGAGGGGACAGCCAAGGGCTGGAAGATGTCCCTGCACATGGCACCAGGGCTGGAACTGGCTGAGTTTAAGGCCCCTTCCAACCCAGACTATTTGTGATTGTGCTTTTTCAGACTATTTTCTCTTTAACAACAACCCTGTCACTTATATCAGAAACAACAGCAAACCTTGAGTAACTTTGAATTAAAGACAGAAACAGAAGTGAGAGTTTGAAAGCAAATCTGCCCATACCTTGTTCTTCCAAGATCCCATTTGGCATCTTCTTGTCCCCGGAGTTGACCACAGCTTTCCTGTGCCTCCTGAACCTGCAACGACAGAGGCACCACATCAATCCACAGCTCTGGCAAGGGGAAAGCAGCAGCATTTCCCCCCAGGCCCCTTTTACAGACAGGGTAATCCTGGAGAGGCTCTTTCTGTTCATGCTGGCAGGGAGAGCAGGGCAGGCACGAGGCTCTGCCGCGCTTCTGCTTCCGTGGGAGGGCTCAGAGAGAGGATGGGCTGAGCCCACAGGAAAACACCCACCTGAAAAAATACCCCACCAGCACCACGAAAATGATCACCACCAGCACCAGGATCAGCAGGGAAGTCAGCAGCTCCTTGTGCAAGGTGTTCTCCTCGGTGGAGTCTGGGGATGCAACAAGAAATGTGGAATATGAGCTGTGGATTGCCTCATCTGGCACAAAAAATGCGCTTAAGGCACCAAAAATTCTGCCCAAATATCTGCCTCTGCTTACTAAAAGCTTCAGAATACTTGATACAGGCAAAGCTAAAATTAAAAGTTTATTTTTTAAATTTTTTTAATTTTTTTTATCCCTTGTCAAAAGCACAACCAAACCACTGCTGCTGAGAAATTCCAAGATAAGTTTTCAATTAAAGAAATGTGGAATATGAGACGTGGATTGCCTCATCTGGCACAAAAACTGTGCTTAAGGCACCAAAAATTCTGCCCAAATATCTGCCTCTGCGTACCAAAAGCTTCACAATACTTGATACAGGCAAAGCTAAAATTAGAAGTTTATTTTTAAAAAGTTTTAAATTTTTTTATCCCTTGTCAAAAGCACAACCAAACCACTGCTGCTGAAAAAATCCAAGATATTTTTCAATTACAGAAATTAAGAAATGTGGAATATGACACGTGGATCGCCTCATCTGGCACAAAAAATGTGCTTAAGGCACCAAAAATTCTGCCCAAATATCTGCCTCTGCTTACTAAAAGCTTCACAATACTTGATACAGGCAAAGCTAAAATTTAAAGTTTATTTTTAAAATTTTTTAAATTTTTTTAATCCCTTGTCAAAAGCACAACCAAACCACTGCTGCTGAGAAAATCCAAGATATTTTTCAATTTCCCTGTAATCAGAGAAAGCTGAACAGCTACAAGGTACCAAGCTGAATTTGAAGATTTTTTGCAGTGCCCTCATGCACATCAGCTGCTTCTCAACCACCTTTCATATATATATAGAAAATGCCACCTTTCCCAGGGACTTTATTCACTGAAATTCTAAGAGATTTTATTCACTGAAATTCTATATAAATATAAGAACAAGCAGGAATAATGACATTTTTCTCAGAATGGAGATGAAAGAACATCTTTGTTATATCTGCTACAAGCTCTGAGTCTCACCCTTCTGCTCCCAGTGTTTTGTGCAAGTGTCTCTTTACCTTTCACTTTCATTATGCTTCTGTAACCTTTTCCTTCTACTGAATAATTCAATACAGAACAGATTAAAATCATTACAAACCCAACATGTTTTATCTAAGGAAGCCAAACTCCCAGTCTGAACCTTCAGCAAGCAAAACACAACCCTACAACCACTCTTCCAAAATTAAGCCAATTTCTGCTGCTGCTGCTGGTATTTCAGATTTTTTTTCTCTTTTAAATTACGTTTACACACTTTAAGGAGTGTTTTTTTTCCATTCCTACAGTGGTCTTTGAGAGCTGACTGACAGAAGGGTTGGATGGGGGCATTGGGAGGGAATTCCTGGCTGGGATGGAATTCCCAGAGCATCCCTGGCAGTGCCCAAGGCCAGGTTGGACATTGGGGCTGGAGCACCTGGGACAGTGGGAGGTGTCCCTGCCATGGCAGGGGTGGCACTGGGTGATTTTTAATTTCCCTTCCATCCCAAACAATTCTGGGATTCAAAAAAAAAAATATTTAGGAGTAAGAACCACCTGCAATAATCCAGAAAGCATTCATGTGGATCAAACAAATACCCAGAATTGATGGCTACAAAACCACCTGAATGTTGGGAGCAGCTGGAAACTCTCAGGGTGTGAGGGCATGGGGAAAATTCCTGGAGAGGCACAGGTGAGCTGGGGACACGCAGGGAAAAAGAGCCCATAAATCAACATCATAACCCAGAGACAGGGAAGGCAATAAAAGGCATGAGGGATGACTTTTAGGTGGTGTATAAAGATAAAAGTGACAGGCATGACAAAACTGCAGCCAGGAGCTTGGCAGGGGTTCAGGAAATCACTCCTGGAAGGAGTGGCTGGGTGAGGATGAACAACCACCCAACACCTTCTGCGGGTGCTCTGCAGCTCTGCCTGGGAGCCAAGGCTGCCAAGGAAACAAACACAAAAAAAAAATAAAAATCCCTGGTTTTGTCCCTCACAGACAAAACGCAGCCACTTGCATGGGGTCAGAAATGTCACCCTGAGATGTCAGAATGCTCCAGGGTTTGGGGGTCTGTGTTGCTTCTCTTTAGCTCTGTAACAATGAGAGGGGAAACAACAAGTTTGCACCACGAGGGAGTTAAAATTTCCCTCAGACAATTACACAATAAAAAAAAAAAAATCACCCCTCTCTTCCTTTCACAGAGCTGCTGCACCATTTTTGGGGTGTCTGTGGAGAAGTGATTCCCAGGCAAGCACTGAAAGCTCCATCCCAGCCAGGAAAAGGGAAGCTGAACCAGCACCAGCAGTAAATGTGAATTGAAGGTCTCAGAGCTGAATCCCACTGGGCAAAGCCAGCCCAGCCCCCCTGGCACTGCAGCCACACACTCAGTCTGGCCTGCAGGGACCTTTAAAGGTCACCCCGTCCACCCCCTGACCTGAAACCACCTATTTCTGAAGTTCTGCTTTGCAAACTGATTCTTGGAATTGAGTGTCTGCAGAGAATCCCTCTGGCATTTAAATATCAACTGAAATGAGCCAGGTTCCTTCTCCTTAGCTCAGTTTCCTGACGCTGCCTCATTTTCTCCATGAAATCACCACCACGAGCCGCACAGGGAAGTTCCACCTCTGGGTGTTAGAGAGTCACAGAATGATTTGGGCTGGAAGGGATCTTAAAAAATCACCCCGAGCCACCCCAGCCATGGCAGGGACACCTCCCACTGTCCCAGGTGCTCCCAATGTCCAGCCTGGCCTTGGGCACTGCCAGGGATCCAGGGGCAGCCACAGCAAATCTGGGAATTCCATCCCAGCCAGGAATCCCCAATTCCCAATCTCCCATGCATCCCTGCCCTCTGGCACTGGGAGCCATTCCCTGTGTGCTGTCCCTCCATCCCTGTCCCCAGTCCCTCTCCAGCTCTCCTGGAGCCCCTTCAGGCCCTGGAAAGCCACCCTGAGGTCACCCCAAAGCTTCTCCTCTCCAGGTGAACAATCCCAGCTCTCCCAGCCTTTCCTCCATCTGAACATTTGGGTTCATTCCCAATGAACATTTGGGCTCATTCCCACTCATTTGGTTCCCAATGAACCTTTGGGTTCATCCCCAGGGCTGGACACGGTGTCCTGGCTGGGACCTCTCCAGAAAGGAGAGACACAAAATCTCATTTTCACATTGCCACTGACTGGTTGGAAGTTGGAACCAGCACTAAACAGGAGCCCCAAAGCTGCTCCATTCTCCTGCCTTTTACCCAGAACTCCTCTGATAAATTCATCCCCTCTGAAGGCTCAGACATCAGTGATGGGAAGGGATTGGGAGGATTCAAAGGCACCAGGAGCCCTCGTGGAGTAAACAGCAGTGGAATGTAAACATTTGGAAAGGTATTTAAAGGTTTACAACTGCAGCTCCCAGGCTGCTTGCACATTTCAACAACTCCACAAGTAAAAACACAAGAGGAAGTAAAGCAATCCAGAGACTATGATTAATCCTGGGGAATTTACAAATATTTGACAAATATTTGAATTACCAGGAGTTACGGGATGGTCACGGCCAATATCATGAATAAACACTCTGTAACAAGGATCTGGGAGCATTAAGAGATCTCTGCTGGAAATATACATTTATTTATGCAAATCCTAATAAATATTAGCTTGGAAGTCACAACTAAATGCTCCCTTCCAACCCAAACTTTTCTGTGGTTTGCTGGTTTATATTTATTTAATGCAGCTGAATACCTGGAGTAAAGATCAGGGCAAATTTCCAGTAAATGCCAGTGCAGTAAAGCCCAGAATATTCTCATTTTCTGAAAGGGAAATTTCAAGGTAGCAATTTCATGGCTGCAATTTCAGGGTGTTCTTGTAGGAGGTAAAATGGCAGCAGTGCTAAAAATCGACCCATCCAGACAAGGTAACCATGTTTTAAATGAGAATAAAGCTGACATTGTAATTCAGCAAATCTTTGAAAAAAATCAAGGCAGCAGCTCAAATAATGGCATGAAATCATTTATACCTATTCCTTTCAGAATCAAAAGTATCTTTTGGGATCACACATCAAATTAGCATGCAAAAGGAAAGCTGATTTTTTTTTAGGCTCTTTTAGTTCTTTTCATAGTCTGTTAAATGGAGTTTTCTTTATGCTTCAATCAAAAATCTTTATTTTTGTATTTTAAAATGCTGTATTAATTCAATGGCTATCAAATTTATTAGATAATCCAATTATCTTGGTTCTCTTTCTGCAGCAATGTAATTCTCAGGGTGCACCTAACTTGCCTGTCAGACAAAATTCTTCCTCACTGCAGAGCCAGCAAGGCTTTGATATTTAGGAAAAACAGTTTAGTCACACCAATCATTTCTGAATCATATCACTGAAATTAAGATTTAATTAAAATAGGGATGATCAGATTACTCTTATCCACATTATCAGACCTAAATCCAACACAATTTGGAATTAAGCTCTGAAGATGAACAACACTGATGGCAAAACTCCCTTTGTTATTAAGATTCTGGGAAGTGATAAAAACAACAAGTGACTTCCCCTTCTCAATTCCCATATTCTGACATATTCAGCCCAATATTAGTAACTTGTTTTTCTACAGCTCCAGGTGCCAGACAAGAAGCAGGCACCAAAAACTACTTGACAATACTTCAAACTGATTCATTAGCAAATTCACACTCGGCTAAAGCCTCTTTTCTATGAATAATTGGGGTTTTTTGGGAGCACTCAGCACAGCCACACACAGATTTCACTGCAGGTGGATGGTGAGCCCCTGGTTCCCCAACCTCCCCTTCCCCAGCTGAGCTCCAGTCACAGTCTGGAGAAGGCAAATGCTCACACCTGGATTAGCAGCAAATCCCAGACTGGTTTGGGATGGGAACACCCTCAAAATTATCCTGTGCCACCCCAGCCATGGCAGGGACACCTCCCACTGTCCCAGGTGCTCCAGCCCCAATGTCCAGCCTGGCCTTGGGCACTGCCAGGGATCCAGGGGCAGCCACAGCTGCTCTGCCCACCCTCATTTTCTTCCCAATATCTAAATCTCCCCTATTTCCATTTAAATTACTACAACCAAGAACCAAAACAATCCAGGGGGCCATAAGCCAAGCCTGGCATTTGATTCCTCTCCTTCCCCAGGGGTGTAAAGTTCACAGACAGATTAAAAGCAAATAAAGCAACAGATCAGCCTTCTATGAAGCACTGGGTGTCAACAGCAGTGACCTGAACACTCATCAAAACGTGGTCACATTGCTCATAGGGGACACCAACAGCTTCACTGCCTGCTTTGGGCTGGAAGGGGCCTCAGAGATTGTCCCAGCCCACCCCTGCCATGGCAGGGACACCGTGCACCACCCCAGGGTGCTCCGAGCCCCAGTGTCCAACCTGGCCTTGGGCATTTCCTCAAAGCCCCCAAATTTCCTGAACAAGCCCCTCCCCAGGACTGGCACAGGTCAGGATGTTGGTCTGGAAGGGTTTGAGGAGGAAGAAATTCTGCAAACGGAAATGAGGATGAACGTGAGGGGCTGTGGTGGCCCAGAGTGATGCCTCAGGTTTGGCTTTTCTGTGTTTCACATTCTGTGCTGCTTTAGTGTGCGGGTCTGGGCTCACATCAGGGATGCTGAGCTCTGTGCACAGAGCAGGGAGACAAAACAATTCCTGCTCCAGCTGGGCACCAAGGACAAATGATCCAAATCCCAGCCCAGGAGCACAAACCCCGTGGGCTGGAGAGAGAAAAACAAGCAGGGTGGGACTGCCTGGGCTAAAGCTGGGATGGGACAATGAACTGCAAGGTGCAAATGGAGCAGAACTGATCCCAGGGACAGAGCCCGTGCCCGGCCGTGCATTTTGGGGCCATTTTGGTTCATCTTGGGTGCAGCCCTGGCTGGGCTCTGGTGCTGCCCAAGGTGCATCCATGGAGGAGATGCTTTGAGTAAATCCCTGCTTTGTTCTGGAGCTCTGTCCAGCCTCTGTTCTAGTGTTCCAGCTCAGCCTTCTCAAGGGATCATGAGGAGATCACTCTCAGCTCCTGGAACAAGAACTCTCCTGTTTCTTACCTGGCAGGACCCTCCACAGGACACCTCACACCCTCCTTGAGTCTTTACATGAAAACACAGAACATGTCCCAAGGCTCCTCATGGTGTTTCAATCTATTCACCCTGGTGTCTAATGAAAATTTATTTCCTGTTATCTGTGCCCAGATCCCCCGGCAGCTCCTGGGCCCTGCAGCTCCCCCATCTCCGCCGTGCTTTCCCCTCCCACAGCAAACAGAAAGTGAAACCCCAACACCACCCACGTGCCAGCCAAGCCCAGAGGACGCCTGGCACCGTCACAGCTGTGTCAGTGGGGCCAAAGTCCTGCAGACACGTCCAGGACCGAGCCCCCAGGGACACCCCCTTGGGTTCGTGCCCATCCTGCCCCCCAGGTCACTCCTTACTGGTGGCTGTGGTTGTTTTGGGCAGTTCTGTTCCATTGGGTGGCAGAGCTCGTGCAAAAATGAAACTAACACAGAGCAGCAGGAGCGAGCAGGAATGTTCCATCCTGGACCTGCAAGGAAGCAAAGCAGAAGATAAATCGATATAAAATTCAGGTCAAATTGATATCATGTTGGTTTTTTTTTCCACCTCATGGCAGAAGGAAGCTAAAAGTAAAAGCAATACTTGCTTGAAATTTAAATTTATTTAAACCCTGTTTTATACTCTCCATCACCTTAGCACTGAATGTTCAGTTTTGATGCAAAAAGAAAAAGAAAATACAACTTGTGCACGCCAAATATTCAGCAACAGAATGGCAACCCTCAGCCATGGTTCACAGACAACACCAGAGATCAGGGCAAAAATGGTCCCTCCATTAAAAAAGCCATCTGAGGACACTGAGGAAACAACCCTGGGAGTATTCCCAGAGATAAGAGGAAAATTCATAACAAAGAGGAAAAGTTTTTGATCACAAGCAGCCCAGTAACAGCAGAAAGCTCTGAGTCCCTTTGGCACACACTTTTAGGGCTTCCTGATCCCACTCAACTCCTTTAGCCACAGGTGAGGGGCTCCATGGATGAATTCCTTGGGGGAATGTTTGCCACAGCTGAGTCTGCTTTCTGAACACACAATTTCTGCATTGGTGAGACCAGAAAATAATCTCCAGTGTGAAGAAAATTGGATGAGAAGTATGATGAGAACATGCTTTTTGTTAATTCAGGGAAACTCATAGATGGAGACAAATGAACAGGTCCAGAAATACTCCAATCCCTCTAAACAGAAGTGGAAAATAAATGTTGTTATTAATTTGTTGTGATTTATCCAATCCCTAATGAACAGATTAATTAGGACAGGCTCCCATCTCAGCCCCCAGCCAGTCCTGCTTGATTTAGAAACAATTTCACACAACCTTTGCTTTGTGGCAGGATTTATCCAGATGGTGGCTCTGCAGCCACTGCTAAAATCCTGTCCCTGGAAATGCTGCTCCCCAGAGCTCCCTGTTTCTGGGTAATACACTGAATTTAACAGTGCAATTTCCACGGGGTATTACACAGTCCTGCCTCACAACACACTAAAAAACCCAGGAATTTGGCAGTCATTAGAATAACCATTAGAAAATCCTGCCTTTCCATGTAAAGTGGGATAATCCACCAGAAATAATCCCTGGATAAGCTCAAATATAGAGAAATCTCCCGTGACAACAACTTTCACACCACCTTGGTGCCACTCTCACAGCTGTTACTCAGAAGTGAAATATTCCCAGTCATTCCCAGCCTCTCCAAAGCCTGGTCCTACACTCAGGAGTAAATTCAAACTTGGCACACAGCTGCTACTTCTTGGATACACAGTTGGGAAGCCCAATGGGGCTTTTTTTCTCTAATACAACAAGTGAAAAAAGAATAATAAAGAAATATTTTAAAATATAAATAAAAAAATTAAAATATTATTATTTATTATAAAATAATAAAAATATTTTAAAATACTATTAGCATCAAACTTTATTTTCTTAATTTTTTCCCCCAGTCCAGCTTGCTACTAATTTACTCCTTCAATTCCTTCTACTACTATTTCTAATTTACTTCTTCAATTCCTTCTACTACTGTTTCGAATTTAAGCAGCCTAAATGTCTTACAATCTAATCCCATTCTTGGGGTTTTACAATCCCATTCTTTCCCAATCCCATTCCTGGGATTAGACCCTTAATTGTGTTTAACACCTCACTGCAAACTGTGCCTGCATCATTGTGAGCATTATATAAATGTCCCAAATTAACTATTTATAATTATATTATATTTATAATTAGAAACCTTGGGACACATGGCAGCCCTTAATGGAACTGAAGGGAAGGGGAAGGAAGGAGGATTTGGAAATGTGGGATAAAGGCAGAATAAAAGTGGAATTAACAGGGAAGAGGTGCTGAATGCTGGGATCTTCCCACCCTCAGCAAAGGCTGCTGAAATCCACTGGAATTTCAGGTAATCAATCCTGGCAGGGGCTGATTTTCCAAGGCACTGCTGAGTTCACTTTCTCATCCTTAAAATAATACATCCAGCTCCTTAAAAAAAAAAAAAAATAAAAAAAAAATCCACAGAATAATTGAAGTTGCTGGAAGGTTTCCAGGAGAGCAGAAAGCGAAAGGAACATCAGTGCTTCTCTCCAAATCCCTGTCAGGAAAGTTTTCCAGATGCCCATTCCCTGCCAGACCCCTGAATCTGTTCTCTGGGATGTGATAAAACACCATAAAATTCTCTGGGATGTGATAAAGGGTGGCTGGAACACGCTGTGGTGTCCCTCAATTTATCAGAACAAACACAGCCACGAAGATTATGCAAATCCTGAGATTCTGGGTTTGGCCAAAGCCCTTTGCATTTCCAGCTCCTGAAGAGAGGAGGAGGAGGAGGAAGATTCCAAGGGAATCCAGGAGCTGCAGCTGAGGTGGGTGCAAAGGACTGGGCTCAGCAGGACCAAGCAGAAAATCATGGAATTAAGGCTGGAAAAGACCTTTAAGATCATCAAATCCAACCATTCCCAGCACTGCCAAGGCCACCACTGTCCTATGTCCCACATCCACATGGATTTTAAATCCCTCCAGGGATGGAGACTCCAAACTGTCCTGGGAGTTTGTGCCAGTCCTGGACAAACCTTTCCATGAGGAAATTTTCCCTAATTTCCAATCTAAACCTCCCCTGGCACAGCTTGAGGCCATTTGCCCTCTGTCCCTTCTCTTCCCACTGGGGTGGATGGGGAGGTGCCCAAGCTGCAATCCTACAAAAAATCCCACAAATCCACAGCGAATTTATATTTATATTTATATTTATATTTATATTTATATTTATATTTATATTTATATTTATATTTATATTTATGGCCTTCACGTACAGGCCTGCAACATTACCATTTTCTGAACCAAAAAAAAAATAGCAAAAACCCACTGCTGCAGGCACAGCAGCATTTCCCACATTTTCCTCACTCACAAAAGCACAAAGTTCATGATACAACATGGTATCCTTCTGGTAAAACAAGAAGGAAAAAATAGTAACAGCTCTCCTGAGAGAACAGGGCTGAGCAGGGAAGGACAACCACGTGCTACAAAAGGAGCCTCTTGTTGGTAAAAGTGGAAAGGAAAAGATCCAGGGAGAGACAAACTGTTATTATTACACAGCTCTGCTGTAGGGCAGCTCCTGAAAAAGAAATAGGAACTGCCTTTAAAACAAAACAAAAAAAAGTGAATTTATCGACTCCTATCCTGCTGCATTCAGTCTTTATTCCCTGGATATGCACAGGTCGGGCTCTGCTCCCAGGGAAGGAGCAAAGGGACCAAAGGATTGGCCTCAAACTGTGCCAGGGAGGCTCAGGGAGGAATCAGGAGGAATTCTGTCACAGAAAGGGTGGCCAGGCATTGTCAGGGAGGGTTGGAGTGCCCATCCCCGGAGGTGGCACTCAGAGCTCTGGGTGGGGATGGGCACAGCTGGGACTCAGCGATCCCAGAGATCTTTTCCATCTGAAATGACTCCATGATTCTATTCTGAATGGCTCAGGCACCTCAGGTTTAACACCGTGCACTGATTTTTATTGTTCTTTATTGCTGCTCTGGGACACCTTCCTACAGGAATGTGCTCCCTGTTGGTGGAGTGACAAAACCATCCTTCGTCCCTTTAGAAAGGAAAGAAGTTTCTGTGTTCAATTGGGTAAAAAAAACAACTCATAGGCCAACGGGACTTCACCTCTCCACCATCCCAGGGCTCCAAGCCCATCCAGCCTGGCCTTGGGCACTGCCAGGGATGGGGCAGCACAGATTCCCTGTCCAAGGAGCCAGAGCAGCTGGAATGGGATCAGCTCCGGGATCAGGACAGCCTGGGACACCCCTGGCCAGCTCCTCCTGCAGCCCAGCTCCCCAAAACGTGAATAAATGGCATTCTTTCCAGGGATTAATGGATTACCACACATGGCTAATTTCTATTTTGGCCACAGAACTGAATCCTCATCTGACCTGACAGCTCAAGAGTAAAACCTGGGCTTGGAGAAGAAAATAGGCCAACAAAATCTCCGTATGTCACGTGGCCCTGCCACAGATCTGAGTCCTGCTCCTTTTCCCAAGGATGCACCAGCTGACTCAGAGCAGGTTAAACTGATACCCACCCCTGGCATCCTCCTAAAGCAGGGAAAAATCAGAGAAACACCCCAGGTATCACAGAGGACAGTGGAGACACTGGTGGGATTTGTGTTTTCCTGCCCCAGCCACTCAGTGCTACATAAGTCACACTTGCAAGGATAAGCACCATCAATTCAGAAAACAGAATTAAAAATGAGAGATACAAAAGCCTTTTCACTGCAGGCTGACAAAGCCATAGGCCACAGCAAGAGCAAGTGCCAACCTCAAAAATTTGGTAGTTTAATTTAAAATGCCAACAAAACACCAAAAGGGAATGGGGAGACAACAGTCACCCTCTCTCTTTGCTCTTCCTGCTCTCCACCCACAAACCCCAACACCCTGCTGGTCCCTGTAAAGATTCCCAGAGCAGCTGTGGCTGTTCCTGGATCCCTGGCAGTGCCCAAGGCCAGCCTGGAGCACCCTGGGACAGTGGAAGTTGTCCCTGCCATGGCATGGAATGGGTTGGGCTCTAAGGTCCCTTCCATTCAGTGATTCCACGATAAGAATCCCAAGCCCCAGTGCCTGCTTTCCCAGCTGCCTGGGGGTTCCCTTACCTGGAGCAGGTGAGCTGGCACAGCAGCTCCCTCTTGGCTGGAATCCCAGGCTCCAGGAGCTGCTCCCACTTCCAGCTGGGCTGATTGCAGCTGTTCTCTTTTCCCTGGAGCCCTGGCTTCAGAGGAGTCAGGGACTGTGCCTGCTGACCCATCCCAGGCAGTGCCAGGTTACACTTTAACTGGAATTGCTCTCCCATGACCTCATTTGTGCTTGGGGCTTTATTGCCCCATTATGTCATCAGGGCAAGCAATCCACGCTGCATGCAGCATTCCCAAAACTTCCCTTCAATGACGTGTTTCCAAAACACCTGGGAAGAGAAGAGCTCCTCCCTTTCCTGGGGGAAATCAGGAACTCCCATCAAGATG